AATATTCACCTACCAGCACCTATAAAGTTCACTGATTAACAAGTTATGTCTTGTTTGTTTAGTTGTGGTTTTGTGACGTGTCTTGACGTCGCAGTGAGGTTTCCAGGCAACCAGCACAGACTTCAGGAAGTCACGGCACATTGCTAAGAAACAACCCTGTCGCACAAAACCCCTGGTGAAATAACCACTCGTTGTTTTTACACTTTCCACATGTGTTTTAACACCTGCTTCTATTCCATGGTTAAGAAAAGATAGCAGCTCTAGCTTCCTATTTAGGCACAAAAATGAGAGTGGTGTCAAAGTGTTTGTGTGTGTGTGTCATCACTGATAGGGTGGGTGAAGGCTAAAGGTCGGTTGTCACAGGAGTGATATGCAGACACAATACACATTGCAGGTTGCAAAGAAGGTACTGGTGCATGGCTGCTGTACGCCTCTGTGCAATACAAGTAGATTTCGTTGCACTTACTGTGTATATGACCTGTGCCCTGCGGGATTGTTGTGGTAATATCTCAGCAGATGTCATGCTCTCCCTCAGGTTCAGCAGGCAACAAGGCGACAAGAGAAATCCACAAAGTAAAAACAGCATTATGTAACAATCCTACTCAAATAGTCTGCAGGCTTCAGATGCGTCCTTGGTAACAATCACTATAGCACCACCACCAAAGGACAGGATTGCATAACGACAAACTCAATGCCTTCGAATAGTAGCTAAATGCAGCCGTTATACACTCGCATGCTCTGTGATACTGTGAGGTTCTGATGCTTGGATCTTTACGTTTCAATAAAGTTATGATTAATTTGATGCAGCCCTGCAGCTCCATAGCATTGTTTTGTTGTTTCAGCAAAGCCATATGCAAACCTCCCAAACCAACAGTATAAGAGATGAATAGTTTCCCTTCAAAAGAGCAATGTGCCCTTCATGCTGTTACATTCTGATGATAAGCTGCGATGTGATGCTGCTGGATATTCAACATTCTTTGTGTTAGTGTATTATGAGTTATTTCTCAAAACATTGAGTACGTGATAAGGTGTTATTTTGTCAGACTGCTAACATCTCAAACACAGTAATATTTAGTGCGTGAAAATCCCCCCTAACTTTCTTAAACTTTTGAAACTTGTTTACAGGTCAGTATGAAACTGCAGGTATGACATCACCTGCACACTCTTTGGGTATGATGCATTATTTTTAAAAAGCATGGTAAACATGTTCAATATGAGACTAATGAACACTGGGCAAATAGATTTTGTACCATGTATGGTTACCATGTATGGCGAAAGGTCATTAAGATGGAAGTGTCAAACCTCAGGTCTTCTGCTCTGACTCAACAGAGCTGCCTGCTGCCTGCTTACCTTCACTGCAGAGTGGGCCCAGAACAGATGATGAGCAGTTTGAACAAATGTGGTGCAAAGAAAGGCTAAAGGTGCGCCAATTCGGCTCAAGTTCCCAACTGAACACAACCCCACTCTCAGCAGTAACAGCTGAAGCAGAGAGGAGGAGGAGGGGGGAGGACAGACAGCAGCCAGTTACTGCTGGTGACTCCAGTCCAGATCCACATACAGGCCCCTGGCTAACACCCAGAATCTCTTCAACACCATGGAGCTTGAGGGGGAGGAAGTTTGTGAGAGTCACCTCCTCTGTTCACTCACATGATGGACGAAAGACTCCGAGCACATGGAGAGTGTCTGACTACAATCTGGAGGGTCAGATGATCCTGTCTGTGATCTGCACCACGACCATGGATGTGAAAATATCCAGCAGCGAAGAGACACGACAGGAAGAGCAGGACGGGAGCAGGACGACCACCTAAACAAAGAGACTTTTTGTTATATTAAACCTGCATTAAGTGATTATTTTGGTCACTTGGGAGCAGCAGAAGCAAGTACAACTTTGACTTGTACAGTAAATGGCGAATACGTTAGCACAACTGTCACTTATTTATACATCCAGCAGACACGTAGCAACATTAGCATTACTTTTGAGTTGTGTTTTTATCCATTTGATGACTGTCACCAGCTCCTGAGAGAAAACAGGTCTGTATCTTTAGCAGTTAAATGCTTCACTCACCAGCTAGCGGTTAGTTGAGTAAATGTTTGTACCTCATTTGATAGTAAAAACAATTCAAACACAGACAAAAACACATGTGGAGTAGTGCTATTTTCAAAAGGCATGAGTGCACTCAAATGCAATTACATAATGTTTACCCTCACACTCCACTCCATGAACACAAAAAGCCACAGATAAACACCAGTGAGTTTGGCCGCTGTTTCCTCTGTGGCTAATGACAGAACTTGACGTCAGGTCTGGTCTGCAGACCACAGCTTCATCTCTGTTTTACTTTCCTGGCTTTTCTTGTGCAGCGAGTGGATGAGGATGTAAGCTGCAAGGGCAAAATAAACACGTTCACGTCTACTTCAATCCAACCTGTTTGTGAAAGTCCTTTGTGAAGGAATTTACATGAAACAAAGTGGTAACAATATCGGGAATGAGTAGTAAGACTAAAAATAAAAAAGGCTAAAACTTGTAGTTTTCGTGCACCTTTACCTCCAAAATGTTCATATTTTATTAACTAACAGAGGCGGCTTTGTTTTTAGTTTGACAACCATTCAATATTCAATTTATTCAGGAAGTTTCGGTGTCTGTGGCACTTTCTCAACCTACATAAACAGCATGTAATCTTTTAATATAACTGCATGCAAATTGTCAAAATGTGAGTTTTTACCCAGAATTTCTCTTTGGGTGTCTGCACACACACAGCCACACATCCATGCAAATGCTTACTTCCTCTTCATATAGAGCAGGACATGCTGCAGCTAAAATTAGATGAGACAAACACTCACATGCTAACAGACACGCAAGTTCTCGATTTAACTGCACTGTGGTTTTACTGAAATTAGGAACGAAGACACGAGATTGGATAATAAAACTAGTGTTGAAATAACTTTTTATTCACTTGTACTTATTTAATGTCATACTTCTATTTAATCTATATTTCAGAGGCAAATATTGTGACTTATAACAAACATGATCACTTGGTAAAATAAGATTTAGAAAAAAATACCGCCTAAACACAAACGCAGCTATCTTGAAAAGACTGACACATTTTTCCAGATCATAAATAAAAACACTAGGTTGGAGAGCAGTAGGTTGCCTTTTATTGCTCAAGCATTTTTCAATAATAGGTTCTTCAGTTCTCAAGCATGACGTCAACTGAATAGGGACAGGTTTAGATCATTGTGATACATAACTTCAAATAAACAGCGAGAAACTACTATAAAATAGGTAACATGCAGGGAATCTAAAAAACTAAAAAAACATGCTAAAAAATCATGACACTTGATACTTCTCTTTTGCTCAAGTTACGTTTAGAATGCCAGAATATTAAGAATAATAAAGGAATATTTTGTATCGTCTGGAATTGCTGCATTCACATACTGAATACTTCTCACTCATTGAGATACAATCTTTTACTGCTGCAACCAAGACTCTTATTTACAAGCTAAATGGAAGTCACTGAACTCAACCAGCTGTTTGAAGAATGGTGAATAAGTGACTCTGAAAACAGGGACTATCTTTAGTCAATAACAGAAGAGGAAGGAAATGTTCTTACCAGCAGCCTGTAGTTGAAGTCGAGGGACCTCTACTGATGTCATTGTTGGCATCAGTGTTCTGTCTGATGTTGAGCTCCACCAGTGATTCAAAGTAAGGACTAAAGACAAAATGACTTACAGCAAAGGGTAAGAGTAAGAGTCGATGTATATGCATGCCTAGCAATAGGCTACTTCATGCTACCCACACAAACATTATTATGAAAGTTGAAATCAAACAGATTCTAGCAGTATGAATTCTATCACCCTACAACCAAAAACTCACTGAAGCAGCAGCCGAAGAACAGCAAAAATAAACTTCACTTAATGCAGACATTAAGTATAAACTATGTCTTACATTTGCGGTTTTGTGATCAATAAAAATGTGTTTGAGGGGATATCAATGCTGCAAATGGCTTCTCCAATGTCTCTGGATCATTTTTGAGTAGATTCCAGCTTTCTGGTATCATTTTTTGTGGAGGACCATTTGCACTTTGTCTTCCTCCAGCATCAAAAAGCCAGTCTTCCACGTGTCTCCATCCGGTGGCTGAATTGTGGTACTGCACCCATTCTTAAGTTATTAGCTTTCATTACAGGCGAGAGGTGCCCACACAGACCAATGGGTTATGGTTTTCTTTGAATGGGAACATGTATTCAGTTCTCACTGATTGATTCACAAAGTTTAAAAAAAACTGTTGTATTTACATGGAATTAATACTTAATGACATGTAAATTAAATACATTTTTTTTAAAGCAAATGGCACAGATGTCCCCAAATGTACCCAAATAACCAATTTGATGATTCACACTTCAAGTAAGATGCACTATATCAGCATCAGTGTGTGCACAGGTAGTGTTCAGATGTTGTGTTACGGTTCGCTAGAGGTTTTGAGCTGCAATAGCATCATTCCAAAGAGGTATTCACTCTAAAAATTGTACAGTTTTATTAGGCGGAAATTAAATCTTTAGTTTATGCCGTGTTCCATCTTCCTTTACATACTGTATAACCATTCAAGATTTTCTCATGAAAATTCCCAGTGCGAGTCCTGACCACTGAAGTACACTCGAGTGAGGCACATATTCCTAAAACTTCCTAAAGTGGTTGGTTGGTGAGCAAACTAAGAATGCGTGTACAGATGTGGACTTTTTCTTTAAATTAATACACACCCCTTCCATTATTTCATGCATAACATGTTTGTACTCCATGCTCTTTATGGTTTAAAAAATATATATATTATATATAGTTTTTTCTTGACATATAGAGTACATCTCACATTTTTATTTTAGTGTGTTTTATGTTTTGGTATATTGTTTTATGATTGATTAAAACCAAATCATAGGAAGATTAAAGGCGTATTCCAGTGATTTCTTGTAACCAAAATAATCCTGAAAACTTCCACAACTTCTGTGAATGGTGGAAAATAAAGTGAAGGTTCAGTCCTTAATTATGTAATGATGAAGAATGCATACCCTGTAGAAGAAATTGTGCACTTTTACTCAAACTACAACATTATGCGATTCCACAACAAAGTTTATTGAGACCGATTTAATTTTCTTTGCATGCATCAGAAAGAAAACTTCTGAAATAACTTATATACAGAATCAATAAACTCAAGCATGTACAAGTCTTTGTTACTTGACATCCCGCTCATTAAACAGTTCTTTCATGCATCTGAAATCTGATAATTAGCTTTTGTAACTTCAAGGCACACATACATATCGATTCACCAGGATGTCATTCCGTATATATACTGTATATCTCACACAAACACTTGACTTAAATTCAAAAGTCAAACTCCTTTTGTGTGCTTCACCTCATTTACGAAGACGAGCACATAAAATGAATTGATCCGTCTGTTATTGTTGTGGCACAATTGGTTTTAAGATGATCCCAAGAACCAGAGAGGTTGAAAACATGACGTCACCACGTTTTTCCAGATATATGTAAAGGCTGGAGTCGATTCTCCTGTGACTCATCTGTCGGTCAACTTTTCCTTGCTGCAGCTGTAAAGCTTCCAGATGTTTTCATCCTCATCAAGCGGTCCACATTAACCTCCGGGGCTCAATTTATTCTGTACACAGGGGGCAGAAACGGGTTAAAACAACAGACAACTCAATGCGAGTGACGGGCAGTGAAGAAGCGGTAGATGTGTATACGTATATATTGAGTTGCACCTTCTTGGCGTTGTCCACACACTGCATGTAGGCCGAGGCGATGCTCGAGCACGACAGAGTCTTTCCCGTGTTGTCCTTGTAGCATTTCAGAATCTGACTCTGCAAGTCACCGCACACCGGCTGGATGTCGAAACGCCTGAGAGAGACATTCAAATATCAAACACCATGTTGGTTTGGTCGTTAACACCATTATATTTCTCCATGGACTGTGGTTACACCTGCTACCATGGCCCTCTAAAATGTTTGCATATCATTTTTTACATTTATACAAACACAGTGACTCCAAACTTACGCAAAACGGTTGTGAGTCTCCTCTTTGCCCTTCTGGAAGCTCTCAGCAGTCACTTTGTAAAACTCGGTGCACTGCCAAAGAGGTAAAGAGTGAGAGTGAGAGTAAACCACAAGAGTAAAGTAGCAGCCCGACAGCTAAACAACGAGCAGAAACTCAACAGGTGAAGCATCGTAAAGCCGAGGGGAGATTCACATTCAGGGGAGTGACCCCCCCATCATATATTACTTTTTGAGTCATAAATATTCAGTGTTATCAAGAAATAAAATAGGATTTAAACTAGTTTCCAAGGGCTTGGATGTAACTTGATGAGGAATGCAAAATGTTTCTCACCTTTGCCTCAAGTTTTGCGACATGTTCCTTGTAGAGAACATCTCGTTTCATCAACTCTTTCTCCCTCTCCTCCAGCTGATGAGCCTGTGGTAGTTTTAAATGTTTTGCTGACGTCATCACCTCTCTTAAACCGGCCACATTCATGCAAATACAACATTTTATCGATTCATATTTTGCAGGCCGTGATAATTGATAACTGACTTTTTTCCTTCAGAGCTGTGATTTCAAGTGCAACTAGAGCAGAATGAAAGTGGAAAAAGTGAGTCATGCACGTATAAATTCTCTCCCGTCTTACCTTCACCTCCATCCGCTGAAACAACACAAGAGGGCAAGAAAGAGAAAGAGGCACAATAAGAGGAAAGATTTTCACATTTACAAGAGAGATCTTGACACGCCAACTATTCATGTTTTTGTTGCGCTCACATAAAGCTGCACCATCAGCCTCTCGTCGCCAGTCTTCATTCTCTCCTTCATGATGGAGTCCGTCAGGTTCTCTACGTACGCCTCCTTCTCCGCCCCCAGCGTCTTCCTCACCTGCTCCTCCACCTGAGCCCGAACGGCTGCACGGGCCTCTGATTGAGCCTGAGCCCTCATCTCCTCCAGCCTATACACAGATCACATTCCATTACTCTTTCTGCTAGCAGTGATGCATAGTTCATACATTTCATGAGAGTGAATGATGGGTTGATTAGTTGACAGACAGAAATTCCATCAAGATTTCCTGCGTCATGCGACTGTAAACTGAATATCTTTTGGTTTTTAACTTTTGATCAACATCTTTATGGGTTCTGGGAAATATAAAATGAGCATTTTTCACAATTTTTATACACAAGATGATGAATCAATCGATTGATTGACAAAACCTTTTGGCTGGTTAACTCATACTGAAAATTATCGTAGGTTGCAGCCCTACAGTCATCTCATTTTTATCAATTTCCACTCATACTTTACATTTCTATGTTTATAATTCGTAACATAGATGCACCTTTCTGTACAGTTGTAGGTTACACCCACAATTTGTATTTTATACCTCCTTTTGTTATGGTTTGCTCTACTGTCACTTTATACTATTTTACTACACTGATATTTATGTATTTTACTACATTTTAGAGGTGCAACTTATGATTATTTTTACTATCGGTTAATCGGCTGATTATTTCCTCAAATAGTCAATAATTGTATCTTATAAAATGGTGAAAATGTCCATCATAACGTTCCCAGAGTTTTTAAATTCCATGTTTTGTTCAACCAAAATATATTCAATTTACTTGTCAGCAAATAACCACATTTAAGAAGTCTGAATCAGTGAATTTTTAAAACTTTTAAATGTTTATTAATTGACTGATCAATTCAATCAATAACCGTTTCAGCTTTCCTATGTACAGTATATCGAGCATCTTTCTTTACTTCAGGTAGAAAAATTATCCCCAATTTATCTGTATTTATTTTATCTCATCAAGCAAAGACAGGAACACAAAAATCTTCCCACACATATGAGATGTGACAGAAACTCAGTAAAACGTTCACAGTAATGTGTCCTTACTGTCGCTGCAGCTCCTGCCTCTTCTGGTTGATCTCCTCCTCCAGACTCATCTGCATCTCCTCTTTGATCTTCTGCCTCAGCTCTTCCTCCACCACTGCAGGAGGAACGGGTGAAGCTGTAAGTAAACATATTATATTTGTGAGAAAAAAAAAAACATAAGAAGTTGATTTATTTCAAACTGTTGCATCAATCTTTATCGTGGTGATCAGCTCACCTGCTGCAGGTGGCGCTGCTGAGGCAACAGCAGGTACTTCGTCCTCAACAACAGGGGGCAGAGACGGGTTTATGGTGGGCTCCTCAGCAGGAGGAGCTGGAGAGGGTGGAGGTGGTGCCAGAGGCTCTACGAAGGGTTCACTTATAGGTGCATCAGTCGGTATGATGGCCAGCTCCACACAGTGACAGGGTAGGGGGGGCTCTTCAAAAGTGAGCTCTGGAGGAGGTGCTGGTGCTGCCACCGGCTCCGGAGGAGGTGAGGGTGCTGCCACCGGCTCCGGAGGAGGAGATGGTGCTGCCACCGGCTCCGGAGGAGGTGCTGGTGCTGCCACCGGCTCCAGAGGAGGTAAGGGTACTGCCACCGGCTCCGGAGGAGGTGAGGGTGCTGCCACCGGCTCCGGAGGAGGTGAGGGTGCTGCCACCGGCTCCGGAGGAGGTGAGGGTGCTGCCACCGGCTCCGGAGGAGGTGAGGGTACTGCCACCGGCTCCGGAGGAGGTGAGGGTACTGCCACCGGCTCCGGAGGAGGAGAGGGTGCTGCCACCGGCTCCGGAGGAGGAGAGGGTACTGCCACCGGCTCCAGAGGAGGAGAGGGTGCTGCCACCGGCTCCAGAGGAGGAGAGGGTGCTGCCACCGGCTCCAGAGGAGGAGAGGGTGCTGCCACCGGCTCCAGAGGAGGTGAAATAAGTTCACATGGAAGTGGTGGATCGACAGCTGAAACCAGGACAGGAGGCATTTCTTTTTCAACTGCAGCAGGTGGGACTGCAGCTCCAACAAGAGTCGTCTCCACTTGCGGCGGTAAAACTAGAGCTTCAACAGGAGCAGAATCAACATGACAGGTTGGTGTTATTGGTTGAACTGGTGTAAATTCAACAGTGGGTGGAGGTTGAGCCATTTCCACTGGTATTATAACAGATTCAACAGAGGGAGTGACAGCAGCAGGTTCAATAGTAGTTGGAGATGTTTCAGAGGGCAGCAGTGAAGCTAAAGGTTCAGGTGGAGCTACAGCCGATTCTACGGGTGGAGGTAGGACAATAGGGTCGAAGATGTGTTCTGCTATCGCCGGAGTAGACATGGTTTCTGGCTCTACATGAGGTAGGATGAAGGATTCAACAGGAGGCAGGACTACTGGCTCTCCAGCAGCTGGTGGAGGAGGAGGAGGCAATTCAAGCTCCACAGGTGCTTCTACTTGTGGAGATGGTGTAGATGGAGGAGGGGCTGCTACCACAGGAATGGTTAGAGGTGGAGTTTTTGGCGGGGCTTCGGGCTCCAGAGTAGGAGGAAGGGAGTGAAACTTTACAGGAGGAGGTGGTTCCACTGATGGAGGTGTGGGTGGGGCTTCTTGAGGAGGAGGAGGAGGGGGAGTGGGTGCAGCGGCATCTGAGACAACAGGCGCAATTAGAGGTGGAGTTTTTGGCTCTACAGGTGGAGGCGGGGATGCAGGCTCCACAGAAGTAGGAGGCAGGGAGTGAAACTTTACAGGAGGAGGAGGGACGAGTTTTACAGCAGGAGAAGGTTCCGCTGACGGAGGTGTGGATGGTGTGCTGAACGGAGGAGGAGGCTTCAGAAGAGGCATCAAGTGTTCGACAGAGGGGGCGGGAACTGGAGTGGGTGTTTGTGTTTCAGGTGAGCGAAAATTAGGACGTCCACCCTGTGAGACCTTTGGAGACTCTTTCATCCGGTGGATCACTTTATCTGACAGCTGAAGAGAAACAAGACAAACACTTGTTAATACGGATTAATCAGCGTCTCTTCTCATTCTAATGTGTTTTTCTTTCCCTCAGCAGCCTGTGACCAGCCTAAATTAATTTAATTTTGTTGTTTTGGTCTGAAAATCCAGTTTTTCCAGCTTTGTTTCTGTTCAGTTTCTACTTTTGTGTTTTGAAGTTAGGAGGAGGAGCTACAGAACAGCTACTGTGCAGAGCTTGTAGGGAAAATAACAGTTTTGAAAGCCTGATATGAGAAAAAAACATGGATTATCATTTAAAAATGAGGAAATAATAATAAAAAATGTTGTCACGATCACATATTTTTATTATATGAACTACCTCACATTCTTGTTATTTATTAGAAAAGTAGTTGGGAAAAGGACAACCCATGTTTTGGCTACTTTGGCTAAAAAGTTTAGAGTTTTCTAGACGTTGCATGAGGTCACCAGTAGTGGTCAAAATAACAAGATGTCACAGATTATAACTGCCTACAAATAACTAAAGGATTGTTAAGAGTTCATTCACAGAAGTAAAGCTACTTTCATTGTTTTGTCAGGTTATTAAAAATATAAATAAATAATATTTGCAGTTATATTCATGATATAATTGATCATCTGAGACCCTGACTTTGTGCTGCGACAACAAACATGAGGGCGAGATCAATACTTATGGATTACATATCACAGAATCAGAGAATTAAAGATCAGCCACGATTGCAGATGAAACAAAAAAACAAAACACTCGTGCACAATGCAGCGACGGTCTCTCTTTTTGAAACAGTCTGCACTAATATATTTTAATTTCTCCCACTTCAAGTCCATGCATTCTCCCTGAGCTTTCACTCACCCGAATGCCCTTCACAAAAGTAACTCCTCCGCCTTCACCATCCTCACGAGAGAGGTGACTCGGGCTGTTTCCCCCCATCAGGACCGGGTGCGTACTAAAAAATATTGAATCCACAACGTGTGTCTGCACTCAGTGAAATAAACTCTATGATCAGCTGCAACAATCTGCCCTTCCCACCACTGGGTGTCAACATCAGCTGCTGCTATTGGATGCAGCTGAACAAGGCCTCTCTGGATTGGTCGACTCAATTTAAAGCCAATGAAACGTAAAGGAACATCGTGTCCCATCGTGCAACATTTATTAAACGAATTAAAAATGCATTGTACTTTTTTCCAGTGGTGGAGGTAGTACTCAGATAGTTTACTGGAGTAAAAGTAGCAACACAACCACGTGGAAATACTCAAGTAAAAGTCCTGGATTCAAAGTGAATCCAAATATACTTAGAAAGTAGTCATTATACGTATTGGCCCATTTCATAATATATTACATTATTGTATCATAACTATTGATGCATTTATGTTTAAGCATCACATAAATGTTGCAGCTGGTAAAAGTGCAGCGAATTTCAACTACTTTATTTACCGCAGGGTTGCTTAATCTGTAATAATACTTAATAATTTATTAGTTAGAATATAATTTGTATTAATAATCTGAATCTGATAAGTAGTTACAGCTGTCAGATGAATAAAGTGGAGCATAAAATACAATATTTCCTGAAGAAATGTAGTAGAGTACAAGTATTAAAATAGAAATACCAAGTACAGTACTTGAGTGAATGTACTTAGTTACTTTTGACTGCTACTTTATAAACAAGCACTTCTTGTAATGCTTAATTATTTGAAAATGCAGCTACAGAGACTCTGAAATCTATATTTATAGTCAGGTTTGTCATTTTAATTCCAGCAGGCAGGGAGTGTAAAGTATTGTACTGTACAATGTGATGTTTTTCATTGATTAAATAATGATCTGATACACCTGAGACACTTTGACACACGAGGGAAATAAAACACGACATGATCTCCATAAATGATCCCTTTGTATATTCATGTTTCAAAATAATCCTGATTCAGCTGCTTAAACATTTATATAGTAATACAATAGTATTTTGTGTATTCAGCTTCACATTGTGTTCACTGTAATCCTGTCGATGAACATTACTATCAAGGCTAATATTGAGGAAATTAGTTGTCACATTAAGAAAATAAATATTTAAATAATGTTAAGACAAAAGAAAAGTTGCACCATGATTTTGCATCAGTGACTGTGAATGAGGTACTGAAGTTAAAGAATAGGGTTGGTGATATTCTATATTTATATTCTTAAATTATTATAGTTCTATATTTTAACAAGGAGCCAAAGTCTGATACAACTTGTTCCTCTGTTCCATTGATTTCCAAAAACTCATTGATGAGCCACATGACATGTTCCCTCATTATGATGAACTTGGGCACTGCAGTTTATTTTTAGACCATTATAAACACGTCCTGCTGTATCTACTCATTAGTGCACTAATTGTGTATTAATCCGCGGCTGAAAATAGTCCCAACCAAATGCACTATTTAATCCTGTTTGACTAACGTTTTATAGAAACTACAGTACCCAACTGTTTTATTTTAATTATTTAACCACTTAAAAAAATAAAAAAAGGTTTTTAGAGCAGGTTTTTTGGCCACTTGGGGGCACTACAGTAATGTTGCATTGAACAATTATTTTCATTATCGATTAATCTGCTTTTCACATTTGGTTCATGAAAGATCAGAAACAACAATTCAAAGCCCAAAAAAAATTAACTGACCTTAAAAGGTGCTAAATTCAAAATTCAGAGTATTGCCTCCACACGGCTCTCAACATGGTGCCGGCTGAGGTGGCGGCTAGCAGCTAACGGTGCTAACAGTGCAAACACCAACACTACTGAAAGAGCCAACTGTGTTTATCTATTCTGCGATGACCATTGTAAATAGTTGTTTGCTGCTATATTAAAGCTCTGAATATTGTACAGACAACCTTTAAGCAAATTCTCCCTTTTAAGAGTTTTAAATACTTATAATTCATTTGGAGTCGTGTTTATGCCCACTTGATATTCACTCTCTTTGAGCTCTGTGTTTGGTCTCAACCAACTGTGGAGGGAAATATTTGTCTCTTTAGCTGCTAAATGTTCAATTATGTTGACCAGCTAGTCGGTGACTGTCTGCGGTCTTAAATACAGACCAACGCAAAGAAAATATAGACGGTCACCAGCCTTATCTTGTAAACTGTTGCATGTGTGTGTGTGTGTGTGTGAGAGGTTTCCTACGGCCTAAACTAAATGACATACGTAACTGTATAACATCACTGCAGGATAGTCAACCAATAACAATCTCCAAGTCCAACACAGCGGCTGTTTTCTATTCGACCACCAGTCCTTTCTTCTTCTTCTTCTTCTTCTGTCTCTTTAATCTGCCTTCTTCTCCTTGACATCGGGTCCACGCAGAGCCGCCCGCACGCTGCTCCACACCTCCGTGTACAGCAGAGTGCCCAGGAAGACCACCCCTGTGCCCACCCAGTGCCACTCGGTGAAGGGGTTTTGGAAGTACATGATGGAGAAGATGAGGCTGAGGAACTTCCTCAGGGTCACCACCAGAGTGACGGTCAGCGAGGCGCACTCTGTGGTGAGAATGAAAACACCGCGAATGCACACGTACCTGAAAAAAATGGTTAAAGTCTGTAACAAGAGTGTGAGAAAATAAAAAACCTGCCATTTGTTGAATGGCAGGTTTTTCTAAAGTTGAATTGAATTCCTCGACAACAAACAAAAACAAAAGCATTGTTTAGCATCTTCACTTGCAAACCTCTCGTCACATGTTGGATGTGTCTACTTCGTCAGTTGAGAGCAGTAGTAGAAATTAGTTCTGTCATCTGGTGGAGGTTGCACACCAACGTAATAAGGTAATAACTGCTACAGAAGATTAAAAAAAATATATATATATTTTTGTTTTACAGGATACTGTGTGACGACGTTGATCAGCAGGTAGAGCCACATTAGCGGCACAGTGACTCCAACCACAGGAACAACTGTAGGAGCTGAGAGAGAGAGAGAGAGAGAGAGAGAGAGAGAGAGAGAGAGATTTATTTACATCTGTGAGACAAAACGTTCGCTCTCCTGAATGAATCGTTGGCACTCACTGCTCTGACTGAAGTAGACACAGTGGTTGTAGATGTTTGTGGAGAGAAGCAGGAAGCCCGGCAGAGGCAGGCAGTGCTACAAAGAGACAAAAAGATCAACAGCTGTTGAAGTGATAATTTATGCCCAAGAGGGAATATTTCCTCATAGCTTGAACGTCTGAATCTTGCATGCAGAGTCCTGCATGTCGGAGCAGAGAGAACGCTCACATTATAGAAGAGAGCTTCCTTGGAGTGTTTTCCGTACTGCTTGTACAGCGTTTCCTGGAAGATGCCCATCCTCGCAGACATCAGCAGAGCGAAGGTCAGCATGCCAATACCTTAATGGACAGAAATCATCAACAACAACAACAAATAAAAATACTTGTAGGACATCATGTTAATGTCATTTATCAAGCATAAGCTACATTCTCTTTAGCTTAGCTAGCAAGCAGTTTGAAGACGTCACTGGTTTTCACTATTTTACAACGTTTTATAGACTAAATGCTTCACAGATTAAATCAACAAAAATAACGGATTGCTAAATTGTTAACGAAAAGGACTCCTATTCCAACTGACATGTTAATATGAAGTGTTTGGCACCCGAAAACTCACCTACAAGCCAGCGCATGAAGGCATGAATGTTTTGCTCTTCTGATCCCTCATTGGTCACATTCTGCAGAAACAAAAATGACATAATGCATAAAAAAATGTACATGTCAACATGGCGTATTTATGGACAAATATAATGGTGGATTGAAGAAATGACTGTGTAGAAACCAGACACTAAAGACACTCAATCATCAAGCATCGTGATATTGAATTATACCTCTGCAGAGGACTCACCACTTGTTTGGCAGACATGATGGTGCAGATGAAGATACCGGCTGAAACTAAAGCTATAGACAGATATTTACTCGCTGAATACCTGCAGGGGAAGAAGAAAGTGAGGCACAATCAACCTTGATGCTTTGAAACCTGCAGACTTGCCTTCATCCATACAAGCTCTTATTGTTGTCACAGGAAGCAGGCGTACCTTTTCTTCAGGATGATTATTCCCAGAATCATGTTCGCGATCAGCGATCCCTGCAAAGAAACAAGGCGTGGATCAGACCGAGGTGGAGGTGATGGATGGAGGTGATTGACAAACAACAGTTCTTACCGATCTGAAGATCATGTGTAACGGCATGGCGATGTTGAAGTTCAGAGCGTAGTTGTTGATCACACTGACTGTGAAGAACATGGTCACCATAACCACATAGTTCCTGGAGAAATAAAGGGACATAACGGGTTTATTTCAGCGTCCGTTCTACATATGTTTCTGCTGCAGCAAGTTCAAAGCCCCATCGACGAGTTTTTACCTTACAGGGATCGCTGGTTTCTTCCTCCCAAAGTGTGTTTCGAAGATGAAACCTTCTAATGCGATGAATAAAAACTGAGCGAAGGTGACTATGTTGCCACATCCTGGAAACTGTCTGAAGGACAAAACAACAGAAAGTATCCACATTTAATAGATTTAAAGAGGTTTGATTATTAATGAAGTTGCAAAACACAGACTACTTTAAAACAGGCAAGGGCAATGTGTTTACATTTCTGTTGGATAATTGGAACAGTGTAATATGAATTGTTGATAGTTTTGTGTTTATTTGAGATTAGCTTTGTTTTTCTCTATTTAACATTTTCTTTTGGACCTTTGCTTTCACAATTGTAGTGATTTATTTGGACACCCAGGACGATTCCAGCTAATGAGGAAAGAGGGAGCAAGTATGCGCACATACAGGCAAAGATACGGGTGCAAGAAAAAAAAATACATCACAACTATTTGAGTTGATCACTGGCTCTACAGAAAAAAGGCTTTTTTTAAACTTGCATACCTCCTTCGTTCCCTGCAGACGCTAATGAGGATCCCATCCAATAAAAGAATAATCAAATAACCAGTTCCCTCATGTGTACTTTGCACTAACCTTTACTTCATATTTCCCATTTGTCCTTATTCTATTTAAGTCATGAATGTATGACTTCGACTGTACTATATGGCCTAAACATACAGTAGGCTGTATTGTATATTTATACAAATATTTTCAATCCATATCAAACATCTTGGCTAAAAAACAACATTTGGGATGAATTAAGTTGCCTCTTATCTTGTTTTAAAATAGCACCAGTGTAGCAGTCAGTTCAGAGCATTTAATGAACTTACACGAGTACAAGAGCTACTTAATTACCCTACTAGTTACTTTATAGCTCTGTTAATGTGTAAATGTATCGCTCCACAGAGACACTTCATATTTGGATACAGTAACAAACACTCGTACAGTGGGAAGTTAAAGCTGTGGAAACAGGACAGTCAGTTTGTCACTGACCTTACAAGCAGCTCGAGAGACACCACATTGCAACAGCATCCGACAAACACCAGAGCAATAGCAGCACCAGTACCCATGTTGGTTCACCGCTGAGAACAACTCGGTGCAAAACGTGTCACTTGATAAAGCAGATTTCCAATCGGTGCATATTTGCAAACACGCAGCGTCTTTTTGTCTTAGAGCAGATCTTCTGCTTCGACACAAAACTCTGAATCTGAAATTGAAACGCTTCCTTATTGCGTGGTCTGTTGGGAGTTGTAGTTCCTTTCTGACATCGGGGGAATAAGGCACGCAGTGTTGTTAACAGTATCAGTATTTAAGGCAACATTAAAAAATAAATATATGTATTGTTTGGGCAATAACATTAGATGCACATTTTCGTGAAATATGTGGAACATTATGAACAGAAAGCGTAAATGAATGTGTTAATTTGGCGCAATCACTGCGCAGTTGTGACGCACAGAAACGTTCGGACGTGCATGCGCATACCAGTACTGCCTTAAAAAATGTGAAGAGCTCTCACTCTGCTTGAATCTCTGGGTATTTTAAGAAACAGGTTAATCAGTCCAAGATTTGAGAGGGTCACAGGTTTATCAGACACTATAGATCCATCGGTGACCCTGAATGGTCATATTATATGTGGTTATTTTGTGCAATCTTATACATCACAATGTGTTTGAAAGCATACATGTCAAATGCATAAAGCCGTGCTGTGATTTCACTGTTGGAGATGTAGCCAACTGCATATATTTAGAAAACACAACAGAAACTGGCAGTTTTATCAGCAGCAGTAGATGCTGTTATGTTAATTAGGGGATTTGTCAACAGCAGCATTTCACATGCAAGTGTCATAGATTTGTCCTACTGGTGATAAAACAATTAAGTGGGAGTTTTAGTAAATGTAATGTGAAAATCGACTGTCTTAAATACTGGTCTGACTAGATCTTCAAAATGGTTTTTTTTAATCCATAGTCTATCTAATGGAAAATCTGTTGTTAAGACCAGTGATGGAAGCGATCAGATCTTTGACTTACAAGTCCTGCATTCAAAATAAGCAGACCAGAGCGTTATACTGTACATCAACATACATGCAGCATTTTTCATGCTGATGATGAAGGAGACAATGTAAACTACTTTATATAATATCAGGTAGTTTATTCTATAATAGTGCATCATATTTCTAAAGGCAAAGTAACAAGCAACTGCAGCTGTCAGATAAGAATAACGCAGGAAAACTGCAGAATCAAGTCGGTTTTTACAGGAGTATGTCTTGGTGTTTTTGGGGCATAACAATAAACATAGGAAAAAAAGGTAAAAAGCGAGTACTGCAAAGTCAAGAAACTTAAAAATAAAATAGAAAAATGTACAATAAAAATAAGAATAATATACAATAATAATTAATAATAATATTTCAAAATACAATATGTTTTTGATGTATGTCTATGTTTTGTAAAGAGCTGTACAGTGTTTTGCAAAAAGAAAGACGTATAAAGAATATAACGTGCAATGTACAGAATGAAAGTGATTTACGAATGTAAAGTAAAAGCAGGTCAAAGTTGTGCTGACAACATCGGGGAGCAGAAACACGACCACGTGCTGGACCGACAACTGTAACATAGACGATCTCCGGTAGAATACGTGCGTGTCTCCGGACGACGTGGCGTAATGACCCGCTATAGCTTCGCCTCCACCGCTGCTACTGTTCTAAAGGCGGAAAGCAGCAGGTTTGAGCCGTTACGAGCTCCGTGTTCTTTGATTATTCATTAAATATTTATCTCCTGCTGCCGCCACAATGATTTCACTCACGGACTCACAAAGTAAGATCGGTTGATGTTTTTCCGTGTCTTTTGTCGTTGTTTTTTTGGTGCGTAAAACCCGGTTAGTGAGCTGAACATCTGAGGTTAGCAGCTCAAACACCATTGGCTGAGATTGTAGTTACGTCATGTAGCTGTACGTCACTGTGAAGGGTTTTAAATTGAAATAACTCTTTTATTTTCTTAAAATATACTTCCCTTCGTATGCATTCAGGTTATCAACTAGTTTGTTATAATGCATCTATTAAAACGTAAACAATTAGCATATTGGTTGCCATCAATTACCTACATCACTAGTATTAAAATGGTTCTGTGTAAAATATACCAAAGTAATTCATTCCACATTGGAATTGCCTTGATTTACCTTTTCTTTAATTGATTGAAATGGGAATTGAATCAACTACTAACAATGTTGTTTCAGAACTAAACACTGAAGTAGGAGTTTGTAATATGGATAAAATGATCTGTCAGTGTGTCTGATTTGATGTATTTGATATTGCCATCTCTCGTTACATCACATAGATCCTTTAGAAAATCCAATGTTGCTCTTGAATGGAGACCAATGCACTCCTCGTGAATACTGGAATCCTCATATGTTTTTATACATTTATTCCCACATTCTTTTTTTATTTATCTTTAACTGTTTATTTTTGTGTGTGTTTGAGGAACTCCGGTTTGCCTTGTTTATTGTTATCCGATCTTCCTTTCTTATTTGTTGCTAGTTATTAGTGTCTGCAGCTGCTGGGTTTCTTCACGGAAATCTAAGTATAATCTCACCAACAGTTTATTTCATGTCACCACATATTTTAATAACCGTTTTGTTTCTCACAGAAATTGGGATGGGGCTGACAGGGTTCGGCGTGTTTTTCCTCTTCTTTGGGATGATGCTGTTTTTTGATAAAGCTCTCCTCGCCATTGGAAATGTGAGTTGACCAATGATCCGATTATCACACTGCACGACAGTCAAACATCTCCCTCACCTATACGGTCTTATTGTGTGTCTTTGCTCGTTGTGCAGATCCTGTTTGTTTCGGGCCTGTCCTTCGTCATCGGCCTGGAGCGAACGTTCAGATTCTTCTTCCAGAGACACAAAGTGAAAGCCACCAGCTTCTTCCTCGGAGGGGTGCTGGTGGTTCTCATCGGCTGGCCGATCGTTGGAGTCGTTCTGGAGATCTACGGTTTCTTCCTCTTATTCAGGTCGGCTCAAACAGAGAGAATACAAAATCTCATTGCCATCAATATCCTGAATCAATGTGATTTATTGGCCTCACCTCTCTCGCTCTCTCATTAACAGAGGGTTCTTCCCGGTGGCGGTGGGCTTCATGAGAAGGGTACCTGTGCTCGGGTCTTTGCTCAGTTTACCAGGGATCAGTGCAGTAAGTATCACATCCAGCAATCAACCGCAAACTGAATGCCCCTTTAAATGAATGCAGACTTTTAAACTTGCTTCTCGGCTTCTCGGTTTTCGTTATTTTATGTGTTCCTTTGTATCAGAAGCTGCAACAACAACATACGATGTTTGACAGTTAGATCCTGAAAGAAACACAGTATTTACGAGCTGTTGTCACAGGAAGCCAAGACAAAAAGTTACAAAAATGAATTTAGTAGTTTACTTTTAGGGTTTTAACAAATGATTATTTTCATTATTATTCATTGTTTGGATGAAAATACATTTCAAAAAATGTTAAGATTTCTCACAGCCCGAGGTGATGTATTCAAATAGTCAGTCATCCAAAATCAAAAGATACTCGGTATGATATGATAGTAATATCATACATTACAAAACTAAAAAATCCTCACATTTTAAAAGCTGGAACCGGAGAATTTGTTTTGCATTTTTGCTTGAAAAATATCCAAAATGATCTAAATAGATGTAGATTGACTTTCTGTACTGATTTTCATTTTGTCCATTCATAAACAAATCGTTGGAGCTATACTGATGTCATTACAAAGATTTCCCATAGAAGCCGACTCTCTTTCATGCTGTGCTGACAATAACTAAAGCCGACGTGTGAGCGGGTGACAGTCTGAGGACAGAGTCTCTGTTGTACTGAACACATGGAGTCTGTTGTCAGGGAAGACTGTTGGAGTCCAGGATCAGTTCTCAGTGATATAATTATCTTAATGTCTCATTGCGTCTTTAGGGAAAACTTTCCTTTCAGTATAGTTTCAAAAGATTTATTTTCTCCTTCTCTTCCTCTGAGCTTTAAACTTATTTTGTCTGATTCAGTATAAGTTGTAAAAGTTGCAGCTTATAAATAACACTGTTGTCTTATTCTCTTTCAGCTGGTGGATAAAATTGGTGAGAGCAACAACATGGTATAACAGAGGACTGTTTTTGTATGAGAGGAGAGCGTCAGTATTTATCATATAGTTATCATAGTTACTGTATACTTTGGTCATTGCCACTCCAGAACTGTGAATCCAAACTAAGTGCATCTGTGGGTGTTTGACTGACGTCATGGTGTTTTGAATCTGACAGCCAAGACATTTTTTCAATTATTATTTTAAAAGCTGGAAGCAGGTCTCCCATTTTGTATCATTCCTGTCTGATATTTATGGGCCGATGACTTGGGACCACTGGATTCACTCAGCGGAGAGTCGGGAGCTCTTTGCAGCATCCTCTCCTCTGGATTGTGTGCCTGAACTGAGAGCTTCAATGTTACTGGAATTTTGTACATTAAAAAATAAATAATATTGAGCTAAATGTAACTTGGGCAAAAACAGCGGAACATAGTTTAAGGTTTAAGATGCTTTCTATGGAGATGTTTTACTGTAACTTTTGTAAGTGCATACTTGGAATAAAGTGTCTTTTATAAGTTTGTGTTGTGGTTTTTTGCAGCAGAGATAACAGTTTTAAATGCCACCCAGGATAATTATTACAGTAAAAATACCTTGGATTTGTGTAACAGCTAGTCTGGCTCTGTCCAAAGGTAAAGATCCACTTACCAGCACGTTATAAAAACAAATTACAACAAAGTACATGATGAAAAGTGCAGGACTTGAACTGTTGTTAGGCTACCTTCCTCCTCCTCATCCTCAGGCCTCATGCACGGGTCTACGCCCACGTACTCTACTGACACGCTGTCATCAGTAGTGTCAGTAAAGTAGTCAACTTTCATTCATAAAATCTCACCAGTGTCGTCATCACGCGGTGACCTCGTGAAGAGACTCCGCTGCTGATGAGAGTCTTAACAAGTGTAAATCTCTCTCGTCTGTCTGTGGTTAATGAGCGGTGACAGATTTAACAACACCTGTCAATCTGGTCAGTGGAAATATAACGAGAGGACCAACTGAGGTACTAATTATTCTCATCAATGACGCCGTCTAATGAGGTGATTTGCATTGTCGTTAGTATAACGTAGCAGTGACAGAGGAAATCATAACACAATTATTTAGCCTGCAGGAGAGCACTACACATACAATTAACGGTAAGATATTCTTCTTCTTCTTATTAGTAGTAATTTATTATTATTATTAATACTATTAGTTGTTGTAAAATACATTTGAAGATATAATATAAATGTCTTCATAGGACTTTTCTTTTGGAATTTTAATTGACATACTGTACATTAATAAACACTTAAGATATTCTTATATCTGCCTATAACTACATTATATTTTGTTATCAATCATTTATGAATTGGTGGTGGGTAGTTACTCCTCTTCTTCTATTAGAAGTTCTATTAATATTTGTTTTATTTTTATGTCATTACAGAGTTCAACAATGGTTCTAACAGTCACTTTGCTGGTGGTGACATTGGTTGCTCAGTGTTGGGGAGATCCACAGGTGGGTGAAAGTAGATTTAGTTTCTCTTTAAGCTGAATTCAAACACATTAAGAAATATGATGATGAGATAAACTATGATTTTTTGCATCAGCGGAGGAACTGGACTCCTCAAGCCATCTTATACCTAAAAGGAGCACGTAAGAGTTTGCAGAGGACATTTAAACTGTTGAACTGGTTTTAAGCCGTCCTGTCAAATTCAGAGTAAACTGTGTTGAGTGTTGATGTTTTACAGAAGGACACCGCTCAGTGTTGCGGCGCACCAGCAGAGAGGAAGGGGACACTTTACACATAGGTGAGTGTAGTATGTGATGTCAAATCAATACAAATATTATGTATGCTGTGGTGAAGTATTATTTTTGGACTCTTAAAAGCTTGTTCCACTTTCTAGTAGTGACACTTTATAAAGGGTTTAAAACGTGTAACTAATGACTTGGTAAATAAATGATACAAGCTGTTATTGACAACCTATTGACATTTATAACTGCAGACTTGATTACTTGACATTTAAATACTACCAGAAATAGAGATGTTTCATGATTTGCTTACCCAAAAGGTGCTCTTAGTACTGATTTCACTGATCTATAAAGTATTTATAGAGTATCCAATACAAACACTTTTTTATGACATATTTACTCGGACTATTACTTTTTAAATGTCTCTGCAGTGACTCACAACCAGAGCCGTGATGGACCCGGACTGTCTCTGTCTTCCATTCTTCTGGAGCTTCTGCAGCGAACTATTAAAGGAGGTAAAAACCCCGAAAGTTACCAACAACACAGCAAATTAAAGATTTACAAGCAAATCTATTTTCTTACTCAGGTGGAGGCAATCCAGATAATTACCAGGATGAACAAGAGCTGAATTTGAAATATGTGTGAAGATATATTTTTTCTTTTATGTCTTATTGTTGCATTCTTGTATTCATTATGTTTTCATTACTTGTTACATGTCGCTGTTTGAGTTTACTTGTAATCAAACGTGCTAAATAAATCAGTGAGCTGTGTGTCCAACATTGAAGGATTTTCTTTCACAGTCGTACAATTTATCTACTGGGAAGAAAAACAAAGAAGTCTGTGTCAGCTTGGGGCAACAATTAAGTAATTCACACCACACAGTGATTAACACCATGCTAAACATCACTAAGTCATCATCAACACACTGTCGGAGAGAGGTGGCCCCATGAGTTGTATTGGAAATGGCAGGCTGGACTCGTGACTGAGTCAATGAAAGGTCACCAGCTGAGAAGAGTTTTAGTCTTGTTTGTAGACATACATGAGAATAAAAGTGTATGTGTATGACTCCTAATCAAACGGCTTCTTAGTTATGGAAGATGTTCACCATGTGATCATCACTATCTGCAGGTCACATGTGAATGAACCCAGCTGACATTTTGTCATTCAAAAGATCTTGCACAATAATGATTTTCTGACACCAGAGCATTCTTTAAAGAGCTTTATTTTATTTGTTTACAATGAAGATCCAATATATGTGGAAGGAAGTATCAAATTATCTGTGGACTGTTTATTTTTTAGATTAAACTTCCAGTGCACTTTACTGTTCAAGCAACAACTAACTTGCTTTATGACACACCAAAGCAACATGAGTGACACACGGTCCCACACTGCAAAACAGCCGAGGGCAGATGAGTCAGAGCAGCATTTCACTCAGTTAATGTCGCAAACTGACACCTACAGCTACATCTGACGGGTTTAAACTCCAGTAAGCCTGTGAATCTACAGAGGGCAGTGGGATGAAGGTGTGAAGAGTGGCGCTTAGTGACTGCACAGTGATAAATCACAACAAGCGATAACACTCGTCAGGAGGGAAGGGCTGCAGCGCCCCCTGCTGTTCAGTTAGACGTCCTGCAGGTCCTTCTGGATGTCCCACAGCGTGTCGGCACTGGCCTGCAGCTGGGCCACCTCGTCATCGGTCAGGGTCATGTTGACCACGCTGGCCACACCTCCGCTGTTCAGCACGCAGGGCAGACTCAGGTACACCTCGTCAGTGATCCCATACATGCCCTGTACACAACGAACAAAAACCGCACTGTCAGCAGAAATGTCAATTATTGTGCTTAAATTTGAAAAGGCCGAACAAAAAAACAGTAAGCTACAAAGAACCCAAAATTTGAACCTGAATTCTTCAAAATTGTATTTTAATCAGCGACTGTTTCAGCTTTTGTTTTACAAATTAAACTTTAGACACAATATGATCATGAACAATCCAAATGTATGCAAATTAAAACCTTTGCTGACATTCCTTCCAAAAATGAATGAATATTTATGCTAAAAAGTAACATAAAAGTACTTCAGTGCCACTGATTTAGATACATACATGTTGTTACAAAGCAACATCGTTTTTGTAGGCAACAGTACGCTTTAGAGATAAGATACAGCTCACTTCAGGTTCGGTCTTAAGTGAAAATGAATCTGTGTGTGTGGGCAGCCTTTACCTTCACCATGGTGGAAACCGGATGAATCCTGTTCATGTTCCTGATGAGGCTTTCTGTCAGGTCAGCTACACTCAGACCGATGGCCCAGTTGGTGTAACCCTTCAGTTTGATCACCTCGTAGGCACTGAGAGGACAGCACACGGCTTTAGGGGTGACGGACATTTTTGTCTGAATGCATCATGAACTTTTTATGTCTTGTCCTCGAATTTATCACTTATTTTTATACCAACACAATACTAGTTCAATCAGGTGACAATTGAGGAAAATATGGATCAAATGAATCAATAGTGAATAGTTATCACTTTCTCTGTTTTGAAATGTGACGATTATTATAGTACTAGTATTAAACTCAGATAACAAAGTTTAACTAATGTGAAATACCATTTAGACAAATGATTTATTATATAGAAGACCCTAAAATAATTTAAAAATAATGATGATTATTTAAGGTCTTGATGAAAATGTTTGAGTGTTATTATTCCTTTAGATGTGAGAAGAGTGAACCAAAGTATATATGACTACATGGAGAGGTGTTAAAAATATATATCAGTCAAGGAACTGTGGCCCACCTGTCCACCACCATCTTGTGTGTTTCCATCCAGTTCTCTTCGTCACAGTCAGTGCCGATGTCCGGGTTTAGGGTCTGCAGGTTGACGCCTGCCACGTTTGTTCCGCTCCACACAGGCACTAGAAACACATGCTGACACCATTGACCTTCGTCCACATGCTCCACGCATCACAGTCTGCACGATCGTTCGTCAATAACATAACAACATTCAGACGTCCAACAGATCCTCACCACTGGTGTCTCCATGTTCTCCCAGGATCCAGCCGTTGAAGCTGCTGGGGTGGATTCCCAGTTTGTCGGCCATCAGGAAGCGAAAGCGCGCCGAGTCCAAGTTGGTGCCGCTGCCGATGATGCGGTGCTGGGGAAGGCCGCTCAGTTTCCAGGTTACATAAGTCAGCACATCGACTGTTAAAGAGTGTTGTTATCATCATTAGAGGGTGCATGCTGTATGTCTGTGTGTAAGAGATGTGCGTTGGAGAGTACCTGGGTTGGAAACCACAATGATGGTGCAGTCGGGGCTGTATCTGACGATCTGAGGGACAATGTGTTTGAAGATGTTGATGTTTCTCTGGACGAGGTTCAGCCGGCTCTCTCCTTCCTGCTGACGGACTCCAGCTGTCACCACCACGATGCGGGATTTCGCTGTCACGGAGTAGTCTGAAAGAGAAGGAGGAGTCATAACGGTTTAGTGTCCTCACTGTCAAATTCCTATCTAAACGCAGGTGTCTTTAGATAAACAAAGGACAAAAATGGTTCAGTCACAATGCTTGCCAGTTAGCTGCACACTACAATGTCTGAGGCGTAAACTTGCCTTTGTTTGCAACTATTTTGGCAGTTTTGAGGAAGAGGCTGCCGTGCTGCAGGTCCATCATCTCTCCTTTCAGCTTGTCCTCCATCACGTCCACCAGGGCCAGTTCATCGGACAGCTCCTGCAACATATCAGGCAAATTCAGAACTACACAGTACTCATTCAGCAATCTACCCGTTTCTGCAATTGGAGTTCCCAGTTGAAATAACCTAAATAGAGAAGTTCAACCTGTTTGTTTTAGGGACTAAATATATACCTGACACACTATTGTAGCATGGCCTCCACCTGGTACATCCACTGGCCATTCCAAACCAGTGTTCTGCATGTATGTTCTCCATTAAGGCCACATTATAAGTTGCTTTGGCTTTTTTTTACACCACTTTTACACAGAGGACACTCAATTATATATAGAGCATAAATTATGAATAGAATAATATAATTTTACTGCAGGATTGCATCAATGAAGTGTAAGACGGGATGGCTTGCAATTGAAAACTTTCTCAAACTCCATTCAGGTAAAACAAAATCTACATACATTACTACTGCACAGACAGAAAGCTGCACCCCAATTTCAGCTGTTTTAGTAGAAAGTCATTGTGTTAATTTCAATGGTCATACACATAGTAGTAAGTACATGAAATTTGAGCTCTAACCCATCCTCAGCATTCAGGAAGAGTGGAGCAACTTCAGTGTCTCGCTCAAAGATGTTAACATGCAGACTGTGGGAAGCAGAGATAGAGCCGCCAAGCTTCTAGGAGCATGACCACTCTACTACTGAGCTACAGCTTTTGGTGACGAATACATTTTTCATTCATTGTCACCACCCCTCAATAAGGACAGTGAATGGATAACAGATCAGACACCAAGAGATTAGTAATAATCCGGTGTCAGTCTGGAAGAATCCTGGGTATTATCCCGTCCTGTGACACCAGCAGGCGTGACGGCAATCTGAGGCAAAAGCAGTGGAGCTCTTACCCTGAGCAGGATGCTGATGGCACAGGCCATGCCAACCTGGCCCACGCCCACCACTGTCACTTTATTCCTGGGGGGCTCAGGAGGACCACTGAACATCGGGGTGATCAGCTTCTGCAGAATTGAGGCCATGTTCAGTGCTGAGGAGAGTAAAATTAAGATGGGGAGGAAGGAGGAAGAGAAGAATGTTCCTGGTCAGAAAACACGTTGACAAGTGACAAACACTATGCACAGACACAACTGAGGGAAACAGTCCTGCATCCAGAAAGCTGCGTGCTCAAGCTTCATAAATATTGCAATCACGACGTCACATTTTATATTCTGAGTGTAGAGGGATTAAAAATTAGGCCAGACATTTATCACAGTAGCACTAATGCAAGCATGACTTCTCTCTCATCTAGATCAATTACCAAAAAAAGAGGGAACACACTGACAGAGCTTTGTCCCACACATTATCTTTCTTTGAAATGACAAGCACCCAGATACAAAAAACAGCAGCAATACTTGCATTGTTTGGCGAGGCTCCGAGCTGCGAGGTATAAATACCAACATGTAACCAGCATGGCAAAGTGAACTACGGTGTGTTCCCACAGAGCTGCGTACCCCCTGCATCCACATCCACCTCCCACAGTTACTATTTGTGCAAACCAGACAGACAATCAGGTATCTGGTCAGCTGCAGCTCGGAGCACATGTGACTCAGGCCCGGCTCATCTCCTCCTCCCCCCACCTCCCCAAATGGAGGACGGAGCACTATAATCGTATGCCGAACTTGACTGAGTGACTGCAGACTGTTAAAAGGAGTTACTGTGTAATCCCTTAACGCTGCCGCCATCTGTTGCACCCAAACTACAGAGGCACATTAACCTTGCATCTAGTAGGATGTCTCGAAAGAACAATTACACATTACCTCAGAAGTTTAGAGATCATTTTACTAAAATGAATAGATACAGTACATTACATAATCCTTACTCCCAATAACAGGCAGAAATCTTAATTATGTATGCTCTTGCTGCCACTGAATTTTTAGCACATTTATGCTGCAAATTGTAAATACTATAATACAAGAGGCACTCTCCAACTGTTGTCTGTGTATGAGATTAGTGCTTCGGAATGAAGTAAATCAAGTTATTGTGAACGACAACGCACATCTGCAGAAATTAGCTCTCACAATTTGCCATCTCTGAAGTAGGATGAAAGTACCATTAAAAGTGCACGGGCAAAGTGTCCATTCATTAGCCTCGAGTGAAGCTGGATCACCAAGAGAAAGCGTTGTGCACTCAAAGCATGTAAACACGACTGGTTAATGAGGTGGCTTAGCCTGCAAGGTCACAGTGGGGGCACTTTTAATTACGCAAAATAAAAACATTGTTGGTACCTGAATGATCGAGGAAACAAAGTATCATCAGAGAATTAGCCTTTTTAAAACCCAAATTGTAGATAACACAGCTGTTGTGTAGCAACTTGTCGAATATTTGTATTTGACTGATGAGGTTAAGTCTCCCTTGAACACAGACGGTGCACGGGGCAGGAGCCAGACAACACATTAAGCACCAGAACAGTCAAACAATAGGACTTCTACACTGTAGGGACAATACAATGTGTAAAACATTTAACTTTGATAATGGTGCAACATCAGTGCAGGAAGAGGATACATACAAAACAAACGTCATCACTTTAGAAGGAAAAGGTTGGACAGCAGAACCTTCACCACAATTTGACAAATCCAAACCAGAATCCAATCAAATCCAGTGTAGATTTGTGTGCATCCGGCAGATATTTAAAATGTCCACATAACAAAGGAAATCATGGCTGTTCACCTGTTGTCTTGAGGGTCCAGTCACTTTGAGTGCAAGTCCTCGTCCTTTTTTCAACAGGTCAGTCAGACTCAACCTTGGTGTGCGGTCCTGTGTGCCTGCTCCTCTTCCTGTTGTGCTGTCAGGCTGCAGCTGACAAGATTTATTTGACTAAGCCTCTCCATCCCATGCAAAGTCTCATTTTGGCACTCCAAAGTTCACCTCAGTCAGCTGGTACACATTCACCGACAACGCAGATTTGCTGGTAGAAAAGAAAGAAAAAGAAAACTAGCCCACATACCACTTCACAATAATAATAATGCCTTTTGTTCAAAGCCATATAAAGAAAACAGCAACTTTAATTTTCATACTTAATATTACACATGTATATTTTCAAATAAGCACCTGCCTCACAGCCTCTCTGCACTGCTTAAGGTCCAGTTGAAGGGCCGATGCAGTGTTTTGGCAGAGCTGACCGCTTGACATGAAAATGACTCGAGCGCTTCAGAGCCAGGGAGCTGCTCGAGAAGAGAACGATATCGGGGAGTGTGTCTGATTTGGCTGTTACCACAGACAACAGGTTTCAGTCACTTACTCACTCTTAAATCCGAGCCTCTTGAGGACACTGAATGCTGAGCTGCATTCCTTCTTAAAGCACAGGCACCACTGAGCCGGCAGAGGGATAATCAAAGTTGGAGCACAACAAATGCAGTGAAAACCTCAAGAGAGACATCTGATTATCGGTGAAGGGCCGCTACACTCAACATCACCATTAGCCTTCTGGTAAATACATATTAGGTATTACCATTTGTTGACAATTAGCCAATCATGTCGTCTACTTTAGAATGTGATAAACATTTCTCTAACCTACAGACTAAAAGCCTTAAAATATTTTTTACCCTCTTTACGCTTATTTGTAATTGGTCAGCCACTGGCTGCACTCAGGAAAAATAAGAACATAATCAATTTGGGTCAATTTAGTGTTCCACGGCTTACATTGGTTTTCAGAAGCTTTTAGGACAAAAAAATACAATAAACATCGTAATTTTCTGGTGTTACAAATTGCAACAATTATATTTACCTCTTTGACAAACAATAAGGCTGTAGGACTGCAGGTAAGGCAACTTCACAGCATCCAGGAGTTTAACATGAAAGCCACAGCAGTGTATGCGCTCTGTCGGGGACAGGGACAACAGCAGGGAGCTGCAGGGACTTACCTGCTCAGGCTGTCACATTAACAACACATTCAAGTGTACAGAGGCCACGAGAACGGAAGGGAAATTTGCACGGTGAGAAAACGTTAATCGAAACCCTTTTGCTGGTAACGCATCGTCAACCACTCAAGTCGCCTCTTCTAACAGCTGACAAACTAACACGAGTCAGCGTTTTAAATGTTTGTATTGTTGGAAGGGTTTACGTTAACCTCTACCCTCAGGTGTCAGATTATTAGACGGGGAGCTGTGTTTAAAACAAATTTATTCAATGATAAATGTTGATTATAGCAATAAATTCCTCAGTGCATCCTAGTAAGATGATATTGCAGCTGCAAAATATTAGTAGCATTGTAAATGTGTTGCGATAAAATAGTTAAAACGTGCAAAAACACTGGTATTGCCCAAACAGTGCTACAGAAGACAAAGAGAAACAAAAAGTCTGGTAATAGCACGTTTATTTTATGATACGCTGCCTACATTATCATAAATAAACAGATTCACAATCCTTACCCACATAACCCGTCGTTTTTGTCCGTTGTGGGAGAGCTGCCCGTTAATGACTCATTTGTGTTGAGTCAGCAAAGTTCAAATTAAGATACAGTATCACTTTCATGTATTACATATTGCTTTCAAATGTGCTATAAAAACATACCATTTTAGAAAAATATCAAAATAGAAACAAAGACATCCCAGAACCCCCCCCCACCACCACCACATCCCCTCTCCCAGCAGGTGAACACACCGTCTCTTAATTGTGGTAATTTGCTCATTATTTAACTCCCTCCATGTGTCTGGACACATGCAGTCAGTGAGGTGGGCTATGTGGGTGCAGTGCAACAGCCAATCCTGCTTATAGGACTGAAGGATCAGAAATCTAACAAGAACAGAAAGAAAAGCACAACAGAGCACTAAAACCCAAAGCATTGTAAACTCAAATGGAAACACTGGCAGGACTGGTTAATCAATAATCCATGATCAAACACTGCATCCTTAAGGAGGAACTGTCAAATAAGTGGAAGATAATCAAAACTATCCACTTATTCATTTACAATTTTGTTTGTCAACTGATGGACGTTTATGAGAGATTTTAAAAGTAAATATTCTGGATAACAATCCACAGAATCAGAATTTTAGCCACAGAGCCCCGTACACAATGACTCCAGCAGTGATCAACAGCCTTTGAAAAGGTTTTTATACCTCAACCTGAACGTGGGCAGATTTTCCTCATGCAGTGATGCGACCTGATTACACCACGCGTCTCCTCCCAGCACAGACCGCATTAAAACGTTTGAGCTGAATCGACCTGAGCACCATAGAAAGAATAAATCACTCTACCTAACTCTAGAGCTAATCTTGAAATTCATACAGAAACACAGCTAACATTCTGGCATTAGTAGGAGCACTGCTTTGTGCGTGAGAATGGGAGGGCACTACGTGCTAAGAGTGTCCAGGCACTTCACCTGAAAAAACACCTGGCACAGAGAGTTAGAAACTACAGTATGACCGTCAAAAACTACAACCATGCATGGACAAACTGGCCTCTCCATTCTTCACCTGTTTCTACACACAAGGGGTTAACTACACACAAAGACACAAACGATTCAGAGATTAAAATCAACAATAAAATGAGTCTCTTCTGACTGCCATAAAAACAGTGTTATCCAGAAGCTACCGGTTCATCTTGTGGTGGGAGGAAAGCCAAAGTCCAGAAAGGAGAAAGTTCAGCATTCCAATTAAATCTGCAACCTTTGTCCAACCGCGCAGGTAAAGAGAAGAGGTGAGCCAAGTTTGCTGCGTGAGTTGTGGTGTGCTGTGGCAGGCAGCAGGAAGGTGGCGTGGGGGAGAGGCTGCTGAGGGTCTTTACTTACCGGCACCCTCTGGAGCACCGCTGCTGATGCCCAGGTAGGTGGCTGCGTTGTTCACAATGCCCTGAAGGGGGACGATGGCGTTGTCCAGGAGGCCTTTGAGGGTGTTGATGCGGTCAGCATCCAGGTTCTGGTAGGCATAGAAGAGAGAAACACCCACCACAACAAGGAGCAGGAGCTTCAGCAACAGAGACGGGAAGCCTCGTCGGGCGGGCGCTTTGCTCGAGGAGACGGAGCCGCCCGCTCTGGATAAAGACTCAGAGTAAGAGCGGTTCTCGGTGTGGACGCTGTGCTGCAGACGGGACTCGTCCAGCCAGTATTCGCTTGCTTTTAATGGTCGACTGGCGGCCCCTCGGATCGGACGCCTGCAGGTCGCACTGATCAGGGAAACAACAAAATCAAAATGTTAGGCTAGACACAAACGTATATCTTAATCCAACATCCACTTGAACATTTTAATCCAAATTGTGCAGAGCAGGATTCATATGCCTGTTACCTCATGCCTGTTGGTGTGTTTATTTCGTTGGCAAGAATATCTTCAACAACACTCTTGCTGGCCTTCTTAGGAGTTTCTTCAGTAAGAATTTCCTCCACCACCTGTCAGTTTAATATTGAAAAATGTTTTTAATACAAACTTAAAATATACTCCTATCACAAAGAGTGGAAATGGCAAAGATGTGCCTCACCTTGGTGTGTCGTCTGCTGCTGGTTCTGACGGTAACTGGAGTTTTCCCTCTGCTCCTCACAGATGTCTCCACCACAGGAACTGGTTCTGGTTCTGGTTCAGGGGCAGCAATTTCCTCTGAAAACAATACATGCAACGTTAACACAACAGTGAAACATGAAGCCATCAGTATCATAATCTGTGTTTTCCCAACATTTAATCAGGGACCTGTTGCATGAAGCAGAGTCTGGATAACTTCACGTAAGAAAAGACAACATACAGACATATTCAGGCTACGTTATGGGCACTCGGTAAGTGATGTGAACTTTTAAAAAGCTCACAGGTGATGTGTGCTCAGAGCTCACCATCTTCCTTGTCACTGTACTGGTCAGAATTGGTGTTGCCGTTCTGGTTACTGTCTGCTTTGGGGAGAGCTGTGACGTCTGTAGGCGCTTCAGGTTCAGATGGAGGCTGGTCCAGAAGCTTCTGCAGCTGCTTCTCATAAAACTTACGGGTGGAGGCTGAACGGAGGACAGGGATGAATTACATATTTATTTAGGATTTATACATTTTGTTCAATTAACTCATTTAAACACGATTACTTGGAAACACACAGCAATGACCTGTGTTTGCAAGTATCTGTTATATTTTTTCTAACAGCTGGTCAAAACAAACAAACCAAATTTAAAGGATTCTTGCTAAAATGTATAAATAATGCCGATAAATGTATTTCTACATGCCTCTTTGAATATCTTTAACCTCATCTTATGTCACATGTTTTCTGACAGGCCTGAAGGAACTCACCAACAATGGGTCCTATGGCCACACCATGCTTCTCCAGCTGTTGTTTTAAATCTTCATCAGTGAGATCTGTCACCTCCACTTCCTCTGTGCGAGGCTTGTCTGTCTTTTTGGTTGCTTTCTGCAGAAAGAATTAAGATACATATAATCATACAAGTCATAACTCACACGTGTTCTATCAATAACGTCACACACGGGCGACCCCAGCATCATATCACAGCTATTCACGAATAAAACAAACAAAACCTACTCTTCCAGATCGACTCCTGTTGGAGACCACGGGAGCAGGCAGCTCTTCGTCGCTGGAGAAGGTGTCTGCAGACGGACTCTTGTTGTTTAGCGCCGTTAAGTTCTTCAGATACAGCTGCACGTACACTTCTTTCTTATGCTCTCCGGTGGGAAGTGGCACATTGTTGGCTGTAAGCTCATTCTTCAGCTTTTCCTTCGTGAGAACCGACGGATCTTCGAGGAAATCTGCCATTTTTAACTTTATATTTTAGCTGTCGTGAGCTTTTTTTTTAATTTGTTATTTTTTTTCCCGCTAACGGAAATGAGCTCGTTTCACTCAAGAGCCGCTAAAAACAACAACACCGAGAACGTGACCGAATAACGGCTGTTGTCAAACACGACTGGCGCCAATTCAGCTAGCAGCACAGACGCGGTTTGCCTAAATAAATGCGCGTGTTTGCTTCTTAGCCCGCTGGATGAAACATTCACAGGTGCATCGGATTTTTCGCTAACGGATACGCGCGCGTACTGCAAACGGAAGCCGATACAAACAATCAAAATGAACTAGCTGCAATGTGATTAAATTAGCTTAGCTTCAAACCCGGTCCACTTGCTTCTGTCTGTCCGCGGTCGCACCAGGGCGAAACAACAACCGTCCCCGCTATTGGGTGGGAGAGCCTAGTAAGCTGCGCTCTGATTGGCTGGCTGTGAATGGCAGGCTCGCGTGCAGGCCTCTGCCACAAAGAAACAAGCAGGCCGTGTTACAGACAACGACTTCACGTTAATCCTGCTGATATTTCCACTATTGTTTGAAATAACTGGCGTAATAGAACTTCTGGTTTTGATACGTAGACAAATGCGAGTTTAAATAATGAAAATGAGTCGCATTTGACGAGAAGACGATGTTAATGGCGACTTAACAGCGGTGTGTTACTCGCGTTGACACACAGGCAGTTTCAGCTTGTAGCATGTTTGCATCATGCATTAATATAGCAGTTAATAACAATAACTACAGCTTCACCAATGGTTTTCATATTACAGAGTGTGGCATTGAGTGAATGTGAGGTCACACAGATGAAGTCTGCCTCTGTAACAGAGGAGGGCAGCACGAGCCACATTATTCGAAAGAGACAAGGGTTTAGTCTTATTTTAGGTTTCATACTCAATATCCAGCCAGCAAGCAGGCTGGATACGGTTATGAGAGAGAGAAGAAGAAATAAACTACAAAATAAAATCAAGGGAAAGCCAAAGGAAACAAAGACGAGTCTGTATCAACACAATCGCTATTCAGCCTTGACCTAGGAACAGATGCACAGAGGTGGTCAATAGTAAAATGATAAAATTAAGGACACAGGGAGAAGCAGAAAAGCAAACAATGACACAATAATCACTTTCTTCCAGTCCCCCTTCAACACGCACAAACTGCTGCTTCTCCAATGCGAGGATTTGCTGCTTTTGTCTGTTTTATATTATTGCAAATTGCAAATATTTGTGTTTCAGACTGTTTTTGGACAAAACAAGACATTTAAAGTATCAGTAGCCTGATAATTCTACTGAGTTGCAATTTTATTTCACCCTATAGCTGAACAAATACAAGATGAGGACAGCAACTCAAGAGTACTGGAGCCAGGCACATCTTCCAGTATTGTTTGACATCTTGTGGACTAAATTATTAATTAAATCAAATAATTGATTGATGACTCAATAATGAAAATAATTGCAAGTTGCAGCCCTACAGACTCGCACACAGACATGGAAGTGTTTGACCACCTGGTCTCTCCTGGGTCTCTGGGCATGCTGGTCTCTAACCCTGTGGTGAGGCCTTCCCCCTTCCTGTCGTGGGGACAGTGGTTTGAGGTGGCACTGTGTGGCTCCCCACCTGTCCTTCAGACCGGCCTCTCTGGGGCTTTCTGGGATGCTGCTGCAGAACCAAGCAATTGATCCCCACCTCAGCTCCAAACCACACCAAAATACAGCACTTCAAGTATAGTTCAGCTTTTCCATAGTACATTTGCCAATGGAGTGTAAGCATAAAAAATGTTGAGCCCTTGAGAAACACCTCTTAAGCTTTCTTTGTGTGTAATTTATACAGAAAATAAGGAGTGAGCCAAGAAACATAGAGAGTGCCTCTTTAAGCATAACAGTCATGGCCTCTGAAAAATGATCAAAGCCCGCTCTTTAATCGTCAACATTCACATTTTCAGAATGAGTTCATTGAAAATGGAACTGCTCCATCTGATGTCGAACAGCCAGTTTAATCGACGCCATTACTTGACGGAAGATTGTAAAAATATATCTAGGAGACAAATGAAACAACTGTTAAAGAAAAAACAAAAGCAATTTATGTGAAAATAAAGGCCTGCGTGCAGTTACTTAAAGAAAATTGGATTGAATCATTAAATGTTGTAGTGTTTGGAAAACGCGGCACATCTCAAACTAAAGCGTCCATGTTCTAAAAGGGGATTTCTGATCATTTAGAAAAATGTTGAACACAGACTCCTCGGTCAAGTTTATCTTGGATTTTAAACATTTCTAAATCCCAATTGAGCCAACCACAGAAGTAGCTTAGGAAAAGTCAACCTTTACCACCCAGAGGATGTCTGATCCAATTCCACTGACACAACACAACACATACTTAGTTATAGCCTACCTAGTTATGACATTTCAGCACAACGTATACGATAACAGCCCTCATCACCTCATGGACATCAATCTGTTGCTTGGTCCAGATTTACACAATAACTAAACATTCAGCTGTTTTTCTTTTATAATTTCATATCTAAAAGTGTGTTTTCTTTGACAAAATTCACATAAAAAGATTTTTTACATTAGCAGAGCATTTTGTTGTACCAAACAAAAACTTAAAAAAGGTGAGTTTTCCTGCAGTAATGACAATAATCTCTAATCCTCAGAGGATGTTTGCACAGTGCCAAACTAATTGAGATCAAGTCCTGGGCAGTTTCCTGTGCATAACCGAGGGCAGGGAGCAGGCAGTGTCAGCAGTGTATTTCACAGGAGCTGAGATTTGTGTGTCCTGGCCTAAGAACAGCCATCTTGTAGTGCTCACACAGTATATTTTCATCTGTTGACAATCCAAATTCTACTTGAAGGACACACACTTAGTTGTAGACATTTCTGTCTGAAGGAAAAATGAGACTCCCCTCCCTGGTCCTTGTTGATGCCCATTTGGCCACCTGCCTGTTTGTATCATAAGTACTCCTCCGTATATTTGCGTTACTATTATGATTCGGGCTTTTCCCGTTTTATTTGGCCATTGAGTGCAGACACACACTTGCTCGTGTCCTCACTGAACTTAAGGCAAACATTTCTGTGTGTGAACTTTCATGTAGTGAATGAAGAATTTCTACTGAGTCTCCACAGTGAGGCACCCATGTGATGCCATGTTGGATCACTGAGAGGAAAACTTAACATGGGCCATCCATCTCCTCAAAATGTAATGCACTGACATAAAAAGGATCAAGACAAATTTGATCCGTCAGAGCTACTGAAAGTGCCTCTTCTGCCACTGCAAATGTACTCCAAGGCAATGGAGCTTCACTGATGCAGATCTTTTTTCCACTTCACACTTCAGGAGATCATGGGCTCTGTGTGCATATAGGTAAAGCTGCTAGAATCAATCATTTCAATATTAGAAATGGACCAAATTATTATGTGTAATGAGAAAGGGGTCGCTCATCGTGACAAATCTGCCATGATCACCCGGAGCCGTCATTTTAAACCCCAATAGGCAACTGTTGTCAGTTAAACAGCTCTAAAAGCACACTGTACACTATCTGTTCAACACCAAACAGCAGAGAAAGAGACAATACTGGACTTAAATTCATCAGGTGACCAGAAACACAATCCTAAATGAATGCTAAAGTTGCTCCCATGTGGCCAAAAAACAGTTAATGCAGTTTAAAGGCGAGCATGTGCTAATGAGCTACTGTGTGGCAAACACGATCACCAGCCCTGCCTAAACAGAGACACATCCATTGTTGATGAGCGCAGAACTGGCTCCCCCATGACAGGGCCTTCAGGAACTCTACACTTAGGTAGAAAATAAGGTAATTTGTTTCAGCCAACACAGCAAAGTGAACATTTTCTTAGTTAAGAGACAATGACACGCAGTGCAATATAGTGTCATAATACTCTGTAAACACAATGTAATATTTCAAAACCCCACATATTTGACTTCACTCATGGTTCATCACTAGGTTGACCTTTTGTTAACGTGCCTGACACGGCTGAACCCTACGGCCGGTGGCTCGCGACTAAAAGAGGACGGCAACCTCACACAGGTGACTGCCAAACTCTTGAGTTAACAGGAAAGACATATTTCCGTGCTTAACTTGGCCGACGCTCTCAACAGAACTGCCTCTGCTTAGTTTTTCTGTACGCATGGCTGAACACGGGTACCGGACCAGTATGGGAAGAGCCAAAGGCTTCTCAAAAGCCTCCTGTGATGTGTCGGTTGTGACACCGCCGTGCCCCTCGACGGTTTCCTCTCTTTCCAGGATGCCTGGGCTCTGAGCTCACGGGCCCCTCGCTCAAGTGAGGAGTCACCGTTCAGGAGCGTCAGCAATAACCGTACCTAATGAATGAGAAGTAGACAATCAACAGAGACTCAGCAGCACTCCTGTGTGCAAGTGCCAGATCAAGGAACATGCCAACAGCTCAGTGTATTCAGCATTTTATTGCAATCATTGGCAGGACTCAAGCTCAACTTTCAATTTAGTACCAAAAAAGAAAAGGGAATGGATTTTATAAAAGCTGACAACAAGAGAGCTCTTTGGGGACCTTTGTGTGAGGTGCTTCCACAGACTGACATGACTGTGTTTGTAATTTCCTTACTGGTGGATTTGAGGTCCTTCTGGTGTCGAGTTATTTTAAGTAATAGCTCTCAGCTCGGTCTTTACTGCAGCCAGGACACATTCCCAAAAACCTGGTACTTCAAGCCGATATGATCTTATTTATTCAATCTTGAAAACTGAAACTTTTAGGCCTCATGGTGCCTCGCTGCCTGAATAGACTGCTCTTTAGCTGGACCTACATCACAACTATTTGGTCAGTGGACTAGGAGGTGCATCATGTGGAAAAAGCACTTGTCGTCATGTTTACTGTCCTTCCAGGAGGTAGTCTTCATGGTCCGGCTCCTGCAGCAGCTCATAGTTTTGGGTAGTAAAACGGTGGGGGTCTATCGATGCTCTAAAGCCTCACAGCGTGGCTCATCCGTGCCAGCAGTGAAGGACAAATGTGCCAAAGTCTGCTGGGTTTGGCTCTTTTCTCACCCCCTGGCTTCCAACACCGATGTATCCAGCTGAGGTACAATAATTTGACACCTTTTAAGCAGCTGGACCCTTCAGCGTGACAACCGCTGCTTTGTTTTATATTCCTGCATATTTTGAACGCAATCAAAAATTACAGTCAGCAACATCTAAACTGTGTTTTTATCCACTTTGGACTTTTGCCCCTCCCCACCCCCTTCAATCTCCTTTATCCCTCCCTTTCCTATGTGGGATTTAACGTACACTTTGTGGTAACCTTGCTAAGTTATCAATTTTTTCTATGTTCTCTCACACTGAAGAAACGCTTGTTTCTCTGTGCCTGCTTGTTACGACTTCAAGGACAGCTCCCTCCATCTGGCATTAAGTATTCCTGGTGCCAGTGTCGGGTTAACTGACACTCCTGCACTTAAACTAATGGCAGCGAGCAGTCATCTCCCATGAGGTACTCACCTTGGAAAA